TTGATTGGATGCAGCGGCGCCGACTTTTGAAAATCCTCATGGGTGCAGCATAATAATAAATGACTTTAGAAATTTGTTTATAGGGGGGAAGGAGTGGGCGAAAATTTTTTTCCGGATGCCACGCCCAAAAACGTCTATTTTATAGTGTTTCCAATTGCTAAATTCGTGCAGCACTAGAGCAACCCTCGTTCAATTTTTGTATTCGATTTTATCCCCCCAGTATACCTGGAGATGTAGTATAAATTTCAAACAAACATTTAATAATGTATTTATTTTCATTTATATAAACACAGTATCCCATTTTGGTTGCACATACATAAGGGATATCTCAGCTGCTATTGGAGTTAGAAGGATACGGTTTTTCCGCGAACGTTGGCTACTTTTATGTAGATGCCGTCAACAAAATTGTCATCGCCCTTGAGAAAAACCACCTATCTAAAATATCATTTTTTCAAATCTTGACTTAAAAAACAAACGTTTACTGAATAAAAATAAATGTTGCAACCATGTAATACGCCGTCAAGTAGGGACAAACCTAGAGGCACCACAGAAAAAGCGGAAGGTAGAAGGGAATACGCAACTAGACTACAGAAGAAACTGGGCTGGTTCTTTTTAGACGCGTGTCTGTAATTATTCATTATTCAATTTTCATTTCTATTTTGCATTAAAATTGATTGTTCAATCCAATTTGTTAGTGCGTGTGTAAGGAGCGTTCACAGGTTAGTGGATTAAATGTTATTTTGTTTTTGAGAGTTCAATTTATGCAAGTTCCTATTATTTTGTTGCTTTTTAATTATTTATTGTTTGTTTATAATATTTTTTATAACATGTGCATTGTTCATGTATTCAATAATAGTATATTATGCAATGATCATGTAATGATAGCCATTAATACACGAGCATGTTGTAGGATACGAAACGAGCCGCAGGCGAGTTTCGTATATAACATGCGAGTGTATTAATGGCCATTACATGAGAGTTGCATACACTATTTTTTCTACTGCCATTGATAAAGCTTGATGATATTTAGATATGTCAACATTATGCTTAACTTTGAATAGGGATTTTATAATTGAGTAATGCGTTCATACAGTTGAAGGTTTCATTTTTTCTTGTAACTCTTCAAAATATACTATCAAAACATTTTCTGAGAAGGATGATGTATTTTTGGTGTTTCTCAAATCCATAAATTGTCCATATAATTTTTCGTAAATTTTCTTGGACTTGTCCGGTAGTATATTATTAACTGCATTTGTCGCCCTTTCTGTAATTTCTGGAGGTGTTAGTGAAAATTCTTCGTTATCGCTCAATATTTCCATAATAATGCCTTCTCCCAAACTTTAGGTATTAACTTTTAATAACAATTTGAAGTATTTTTTTTATAAAATTATTGTTTTTCGCTAAATTACAGAGTGCTGTCAAAATTAAAAAAAAAAAAAATTCAAATTTTTTTAACTAGTGGCGCCATCTATTGACAATGTATAATAATGAAGAAAGTAAAAATTCTTCGTTATCATTCATGATTTTTATAATAATTATTCTTTGTCCCAAACTTAACTTAAGGTAACTTTTAAACAATTCGGAGTCTTTTTTATAGTTATCAAAATAATTGTTTTAGGCAAAATCACCGTTTAAAATGTTTAATATCTTAACTAGTGCTGTCATCTATCTACATTGTATAATATTAAAAATGAGTATTATAATGAAAATCTGTATCGTAATGAAGTTCATTATGATACAGATTTTAATCGTTTAATAGCGTATATCAGTAGAAAAAAATCTTTTCATACTGTAAACAGCACAGATAAAAACCTAAGAAATTATGTGCTGTCTTTTTGTACTGGGATTTTGATTTTGTGGATTTAGAGCGTGTATTAGGGCCTTGTTGAATTTACTAACATTTTCCTACCCTGGCGAGAGAATATTCTAACAAATTGAAATAATCAATCTAGAGATATTGGCTCAAAAACAACTATAGCCTAGTAGCTTCCCGTATGGGACCTCAGTATCCGCTGGGAAACTGGCTAACTAACAAAAAAACTCTTCAGTATTGAATATAGGTGTTGATTGAATGTCGAGTGTGTAATTAAAATTTCAGCACAAAGACCAAAGACGGTACCTAATTTAAACTTTTATTGACTTAAATTATTGACTTAAAATTATTATTAAAATGACACAGTATGTTTCGATTTTTTGAGGAATGTTAGATCGAGGGTTTCTCTGCCGTTCTCTTTCCCCTCGAGAATTCTAGGTCGAGAACGGTACGATTCACTTTAATAATAAAGTAGACGTTTCACAAATTTTTCGTTTCTTTTACATATCACAACTTTCTTACATATTTGCTATGTCGGGCGCATGTCCAGTAAGTAAAATTGGGTAAGTTTCCACAACGTAGGTCCTATTTTTTTCTTCATTTCGTTTTTCAGAAGATTTGTTGTTTAAAGCTAATAAAAATTCTCATCGTTCAATCTTACCGAACGAACCCGGGGTATGTTATACTACACCCTTTTCGTTTTTCAGATACAAGGTGTTTTTGAAAAAGTTGCATTTTGGGACACCTCTTGTATCTCGGTTCTCTTATAAAGTGATCGAACATGGACAACGGCTTCTCATAGAGCCGCTGTGTATAAATAGCTCATTGGATAGCTCTGCTTCTGCTGACGTCAATGAAAACTGTCAGAGATAAACCCGTCGAATTTTATATCATTGAAATCAGCAAAAGCAAAGCTATTCAATGAGTTTATAATATGTAGGGTGTCTCATTTGAAATAACGTATGTTTGGTTCATAATTTGAAAACTATCACTTTCAAAGAAAAATTGACAACGCTTCTGGAATCTACGGAAAAATATCTATAGGAACCCGTTGTCACGTTTTTGATCACTTATGAGAAAGCCGAGATCCAAAAGCACCTTGTATCTGAAGAACGAAAAGGGCGAGGACAATTTTGTTGACGGCATCTTTCGTTTGACAGAAAAGTAGCTAACGTTCCCGAAAACCCGAGCAAAAACCGCATCCTTCTAACTCCAATAGCAACTGAGATATCCCTTATGTACAACCAAAATAGGACACACTGTATCTACAGTCAACGAAATAGGTGCAAGTAGAAGAAAACAAAATAAAAAAGTAAGTAAAAAGTTAGCCAAATACCAAGTATTTATAGCTGAACCACCGTTGGAATGACCATTAAACACGCATGTATACTTCCGCATTTCCCACGAGAGCTCTCATAGGTGCACCTGCCCCGATGCCCCCATGTAGTCGGCGCCAGTGATTGGATGAGACCAAATTCAATATGACGTGGCGGCCAGCAAGTTAGTTTTGAATGTGTTTTCATGCATATTTCAATTATTTTGCTTCGAGTTTTGCTTGCAGCTTTGATTTTGATTATTCAATAAAATATTTGTAGGTACGTAAACTATTGAGTTGGGCAGAAACTAGATATTTTTTTGTGTGTTTTCGTCAATGTGTGGACGCCACGCCATCTTGAATGTCACGTGGTTTGGATTGCCTAATTGAGAAACGGTATTTGTCGTTCCAGCAAATTCACACCAGATTTGGCATCGCCGGTAGAAGGGGAAAAGTAGGTTTTGGCATTAGCATTGACGTCTTTGAACGCACTCCTGGTAAGTTCCGTTAGATAGCGGGCTCCGCTAACGCTATAAGTACTCGGGGGCCTCGGGGCTTCGACTCGAACGCACCTACGGTAAGAACTGTCACTTGTTAAATAGCGTTATGGTCAGTGTTGCCAATATGCGGGTAATTACCCGATTTGCGGGTAATTTGCATGAAAGCGGGGTAATTTTCTAACATTTTATAAATCGTTTAATTTCGGGTAATCGAAACTTTATGTTAACTTTTACAATTTTTGGAAATTGTCGTAGATGGCACGGGTGGCCGATCTGTTAAGGCAATGGGTACATTCATTAGTTCAGCCACTCAGCAGGAACTTTATTCTCGAAACAGGGGAGCAGCGTTCTCATTGGAACGAAGGTTCTGTCTTTGTCAGTGTTATGCCACACTGACAATGACAGAGCAATGCGTTCTTATGAGAACACTGTTCCTTGGTTTCGAGAATAAAGTGCCTGCTGAATGGCTGAGTTTAGCCGCTGGGACCGCCTGAATGTACCCAATGTTTCGTTTGGGTCGAGCGTGCTCCGGTCATATTTGCTTCTCTTCCATTTTTCCTTCTAGATAAAGAAAGATAGGAAACAGAAAGATCAAGGAAAGAGAAAGCGAGACCCCTTTAACCTAAAATAAATTTCGATGCGAAATGCGGCTTTGTAACTTCAACATTAGGATTGTTCGGACTAGTTCAGAATCAGTCCTGAATTGAACTGCGCTTGCGCATTTGTTTATATATGTTCGGATCTTTATCCTTCTCTCCTATACCCTAAAAAAAAAATAAAGATACGTGGACCGCCCCTAGAATACTTTTTTTTTTGCTTAGCGCGCTGTTTTGGAATATGCCCCTTTCCTGGCCTCACAAACCTGGTAACATTACACCAAACGCGAGTAAAGAGCGGGTAATTTCAACTAGAAACTCGGGTAATCCGACTTTACCACATTGGCAACACTGGTTATGGTATTTGAAATTTGGACGGCACGAGAACTCTCTAATGTCTAGTCTAGAGTCTATGTGCTGTGCTGATAGATTTAAGTCGGCACTGTCTGGTCAGTGCAGATAGTTTTCAGTCACCAGTGTCTGGACAGTGCAGTAGTCACTCCCTTTTTATTTGGAGGATTCGAGGTTATGTGCGTTTTGTTTGTTTCGTTTCCATCCAAATCGTTGGTTTCAGTTCCAGTTTTCAAGTTTTCACAGAAACTTTCAAAATACTCAAATATTAGATACGAAATAACACGTACAAGTACAAAGTATAAGTATCTTACAAACATTATTAAATGGACTAAAAGTGTCAATTTCTCGGTTAATTCGAAAACCAAAAATGGGCATACGAGGACTGACAACCTTCATAAACAACCATTCCCATCTTTATCTAGTAGACCATGAATTACGTGATTGCAATGTGGTCTTGGATGGTAACAGTGTAGCCTCAAACCTGTACAAGTGGCACAGCAGAAGCAACGACTGCTTTGGAGGTGACTACGACAAATTTGCCCAAGTCGTATACAACTTTTTCAAATTATTATCAGATTGCAAAATAACTCCTTATATAATATTGGATGGGGGCTATGAGAGACGCAAGCTGAACACTGTGGTAACTCGTATGAAAAATAAAATTAGAGCTGCAGAAGCTTTGAATGCTATTAATGAGGGTAGTGGGTCAGTTTTTCCATTATTTTTGAGGGAGGTGTTTGTGGATGTTATATTAAATTTGGAGCTGAAAGTGGCCAGGTGTGAGTATGAAGCTGATATGGAAATTGCTGGAATTGCTAGAGCTTCAGATTGTTCAGTAATAAGCTATGACTCTGATTTTTATATTTTTGGTTGCCCTTATATTCCATTTGACACCTTGGAGCTTAATGTGCGTGAAAATAAAGCTGAAAAATATCTGCCTTGTAAAATTTATTACATAGATAATTTTTTAAAAACTTTCGGTGGTTTGGACCAAAATAACTTACCACTATTGTCAGTGTTATTGGGAAATGACTATATTAAAGGCAGCCTCTTTGCTCCATTTTTTAGCAACTTGAAAATTCAAAAATCAAATGGACAACACAGCGAGCAACAAAAAAGAATCAAAAGCGTGATAGTATGGCTTCAAAATGAAACTATTGAAAGTGCCATAAGGAAGATTTTGACCAGGTTTAAAGACTGTCAGCGTAAATTGGTTTTGAAAAAAATTAAACAGGCCATGAAAGGTTATTTTGAGGTCGACAGTGAACTTTTGAAGTATCTGGATATTGGACTGTCTAGTGAAAATATTAGTGTAAACTTTGATGTGTTTGATTGTGGTGACATTTCAGAAAATACTTTCAGTGATGTTGATAAAGAAGCTGATTATTTGGATGAAAATATTGAAGATTTTGAGGAATCAGATATAGATTTTGCAGCAGAAATTAAGAATAATTGGGAACCAGACTACACATTCAAAAACAACTATAGAAAATGTCAATATCCTGCATGTTTTATGGATTTAATAAACATAAAAAGATACTATTGCACCCCTCAAGTGGAAGATAGCTCCTTAGATCATTCTCATTCAATTGGCTTATCCATTTTAGAAATTATATATAAAATCTTAATGCCAAATGCAGACACAAGATTAACTATAGTTTCTAGAAAAGGGCCTTATAATATACAATACATTTCATTGCCTGAGAGTAAAATTAATGTTCCTACACTTGAGGATATCCAAATAATGGATTTAGAAACACGCCAAAAGACTCTATTGAAATGTTTATCAATAAATGATATAACATTCCTGAGTTTATTTTCAGAAGAATGGGGTTTATTTTTAATATCATTGAAATTTATTACAAACAATGTTATCATAGACAAATCAATAATTTATTCATGCATAATGTGTTTTATCATTTTAAATTTCATAGACCCTAAAATAGGTTTTCATAGGGCGACAAAGACTTTTAATAAAAAATTCTCAGGCATTTTAGAAGCAAGTCATTCGACAAATGATTTCTCAGACAATTACAGCAATTTACCTTACATGGACTGCTTAATATTCATGAAGACAATTATAAATTATTTCCAAATGGATGACAAATTAAAAACAAATCATCGACTATATGATAAGACTTTAGTTCATACTCTATCACAAATCCAAAGTGTATTTTTGCATGTAAAATATTTAAATTCTCTTTTAAACAATCCATTTCCTTTACTGGAAATTCATAAAATTTTCAATGGGACTTTTCTGTATAATATGACGATAAATCTAAGAAAACGCTCAGATATTGATAGGTATTTAGCATTACTTTTAAAAGATTCATCTTGTGTCTTGTCTGCAATCAATCGCACTTTTGTTACACTGGAAAAAAATATGGAAATAGATTCACTTGCAATTAACACTAATGGAAAAAAGCGCAGAAAAAAGAAAAATAAAAAAGTTGAAAATAGTGATAATGATGTAAAGGTTGACGAGTATATAGAAGAGGAAGAAAATAATGTTTTGGATCCTAATAATCCTTATTCAGTTTTGGGAATACTGTAAATTCTAAAATTGCATAAAATGTTTAATATTGTATTCATACTTACCTGAAAATGTGAGGGGTGGTTAACTGGTCAAAATCCTTGTGCAAGTTGGTCAAAATCCCAGAAAATCTCATAAGATCTACTGAAAATCCCTGAAAATCTTTGAAATCCTTAAAAATTTAACAAAATCTCTTAAAATTGCATAAAATCCTACAAAATTTCTTTAAAACCAAAAAAATCCTGCAAATTCTTATAAAATCATTAACATTCCTAAAAAATATTTTCTTCAAAATTCCCAAAAATTCTTTGGAATCCTCAAAAATCTGTTGAAGTCTCACAGAATTTCATAATTTAGTGAATTTCCGAGGAATTTCGGTAGAATTATGTTATTCTTAAAAAGGAATTACATATACATGTGAAATTTTTGCGGAGTTCCTATAGAATTCACATTAAATTTTAGTTTCTCTCGAATTACATGAAATTTCAGTAAAATTCCGATCGAATTACAAGAAAGCCTAAATGAATTGCATGAAATTACACCGAAATTCCCACCATGAAATTTCAGTTCTTACTGAATTTTAGTAAAATTCACGAAAACTCCACAAGAATGCCAAGGAATATCCTGCAAAGAATATGGAATTACGGTGATATTCCGAAAAATTCCCATGTGATGACATGAAATTTCAATATATTTCGGTAAATTTTCAAGAAATTACTTGAACTTTCATTAATATTCCCAGAAATTCCTGGCTATTAAAAGAGAATTTCAGTGAAATTCCGAAAAATTCTTATGAAAATAAATGAAATATTGAAAAGTTTCTTGAAGTCTTATTGGACTTTCTAGAAATCTTTAGCTATGAACGTGGAATTTCACAATATTCTCATAAAATTTTAGTGAATTCCGAGGAATTTTTTCTTAAAATGTCAATGAAATTCCGAAGAATTTTATGAAAATTTTATGGAATTCCAGGATATTTCAGTGGTGAAATTTTGGGGAGTTTCAGTAAAGTTAAAAAAAAAAAAAAATTATATATATATATTTTTATAGAATTTTTAAATTGAAATTTTAGTGGAATTCCGAGGAATTTCATAAAATCCTATACTGTAATTCCGAAAAGAAAATTGTCTAAGAATTCGATAAAATCATCTAGTGAAATGTTAAGGAATTTCTATAGAATTACTTAAAATTTTCGCGAAATTCCTATGGGATAACATGAAATTTTATTAGAATTCCGAAGAATTTCATAGCGTAATTCCAAGGAATTTTTGTTCAAGAATTCCATTAAATTTTATTGTGGAATTCCATAAAATCTTATGGTGAAATTTGGAACAATATTATGAAATCTTATAATAAAATTTTTAAGAATTTCCGTTTTTTCATTCTTATTTACCATTTGAATGAAATTTTGAGGAATTCCATAAAATCTTCTGGTGAAATTCTAAGGAATTTCTATGGAATTGACTAAAATTTTCGCGGAACTCCCATGGAATAACTTAAAATTTCAGTGGAATTCCAAAGAATTTCATGAAATCTCATATTGTAATTCCGAAGTTAAAAAAATTCCAAAAATTCTATTGAATTTTATGGTGTGAAATGTGACGTGTGAAATTTTTGCGGAGTTTCCATAGAATTCACATTGAATTTTAGTTCCTCTTGAATTACATGAAATTTCAGTGGAATTTCGATCGAATTACATAAAATCCTGAATGAGTTGCATGGAGAAATTCTAAACAATTACATTGAATTACAACGAAATTCCCAACATGAAATTTCAGTGCCCGTTAAATTACATAAAGAATTTTAAAAAAGTTTCAAAAAAATTACATAATTTCCGAAGAATTTTCGTCGAATTATATGGAGTTCCGATGCAATTGCATAGAATTCCAAGGAATTATCAGGGAATTACATGAAATTTAAGAGGAATTTTGAACAACTCTTATCGTTTCATAAGGAGTTCCAATGAAATTCTGGAAAATCCTAATGTAATTACATGAAGTTTTATTTTTATTCCAAGGAATTCCCTGTTAAAAACATGGCATTTTAGTGAAATTGAAATTCCGAAAAATTTCCATCGAATTACTGAATTTTAGTAAAATTAGAAAAAATTTCGCAAGTGAAATTCCGTGGAATTTCCGGCTAAAAACTTGGAATTTCGGTAAAATTTGGAAAAATTCCCATATATTGATATGAAATTTCAATATATTTCGCAGGAATTTCGGTGAATTTTCAAGAAATTACTTGAAGTTTCATTAATATTCCCAGAAATTCACTATTAAAAGTGAAATTCTGAAAAATTCTTATGGAAATAAATGAAATTTTGAAAAAAAAATTTGAAGTTTCATTGGAATTTCGGGAAATTTTCGATTAATAACGTGGAATTTCAATGAAATTTCAAAAAAATTTCATAAAATCTTAGTGAAATTTCAAGGAATTTCTAAGAAATTACAGGAAATGTCAGTGAAATTTTATGAAAATTTTGTAGAATTCCAGGATATTTCAGTGGTGAAATTTTGGAGAATTTCAGTAAAGTTTAAAAAAATTATGGAATTTGGAATTTCTATAGAATTTTGGAAAATTTCAGTGGGATTTCGAAAAAAAAATGAAATATTCACAGAATTTCCAACAAATTATAAATAATTTCACTTTGTGTCAACTTATATAAAATTTCGATGAAATGTCGAGGAAAATTCCAAGGAATTCTCGGCAAATTACATACGTGGAATTCCTTGAAATCTTATTGTGGAATTCCAGTGAAATTACATGAAATCTGAAGCACTCCCTTGGAATTAAACAGAATTTTCGTGGAATTTCCATGGAACCAAGAGAAATTTCGAAGAAATAAATTACATTTTAGTGAAATTCTGAGTAATTTCTGTCGAATTACATAAAATTTTAGTGGAATTCCAAGAAATTTCATGAAATTTTTTACAGTAATTCCGAGGAATTTTTTTACCAGAATTCCATTGAATTTTATGGTGGAATTCCATGGAATCTTATATGAAATTCGGAATAGTATTATGTAATCTTATGGTAAAATTTCTAAGACTTTCTGTTTTTCTATTCAAATTTGTCACTTGAATGGAATTTCGAGGAATTCCATAAAATCTTCTAGTGAAATTCTAAAGGAATTTCTATGCAATTAACAAAAATTTTCTCAGTATTCCCATGGAATAACTTGAAATTTTAGTGGAATGCCGAAGTAGTGTACCTTCCTAATTTTGAGGAATTTTTGTTTAAGAGATCCATTGAATTTTATGGTGGAATTCCATAAAATTTTATAATGAAATTTGGAAAAGTATTATAAAATCCTATAGTAAAATGTCTAGGAATTTCCGTTTTTCCATTTAAATTTGTTATTTGAATTGAGAATCTTTAAAAACTTTTCAAAAACCCCTAAAATATTCCAGAATCACCCCTAAAATTTTGTAAAATCTAAAATCTTCTGAACTCTTGTAAAATCGTGTAAAGATTTTCAAAATTCCCAAAATCCTACAAAATCAATTAAGATTTAAAATATGTGTTTATTATCTTATAGGGTTAACTAAACCTCGGAATACAAGTCCAGAAAAACATGTGAGATATATTTAAAATTTCTGAAAATCTTTGAAAATTCAACAAAATTTGAGACAAAACTACACAAAATCCCTTAAAAATCACTTGAAATCGCATAAAATTTCACAAAATCACATAAAATTTTATTAGAAAAAAAATCCGGCAAAATCCGAGGTAAAATCTTATTAAATCATCAATTGTATTCCTAAAAAAAAATTCCTTCAAAGTTTTCAAAAATCCTTTGGAATCCTCAAAAATCCGTTAAAATTTCTAAAAATCCTTAAGGATCTCTAATGGCTGTTTCCACCAACTATTTTAGGGGAACTTCAACAATAAGTATTCCTTAAAATGCCAGTCTTCTATGTCAGAAATGTCAGTTCAAAAAATACTTATCGTGAAGGCTTCCCTAAATAAGTTGGTAAAAACAACATAAAAACCCTTTCTAAATTTCTTAAAATGATCCAAAATTCTGTGAAATTATGTGAAGTTTTTCAAAATCCTCAAAATCCTACAAAATCAATAAAGATTTAATTATATACACATTTTATGGAGTTAACTAAACTTTGAAGCAGTTAATTGATGAAAATTTGTATACAAGTTGGTCAAAATCCCAGAAAAACTCGTCAGATCTACTTAAAATCTCTGAAAATCTTTAAAAATCTAACAAAATTTTATTAGAACAATAAAAAAATCCAGCAAAAAATTCCTTTAACATTTCCAAAAATCCTTTAGGATCCCCAAAAATTCGTTAAAATCTCTAAAAATCCTTTAGGATCTAAAAACCCTTCTAACTTCCCTAAAATGAATGCTACAAAATCACCTAAAATCTTTTAAAATCATGTGAAGATTTTCAAAATTCTACAAAATCAATGAAGATTTAAAATCTGTGTACATATTTTGGGGAGTTAACTATTCCTCGTGAAAATGTCTATTTATTTTATTCTTAGCTGTTTTAAGGATTGAGAATTTTGGGTAGTTAGACTGTTATCTGTATTTAGTTGAAAATACTGAATTTATAAGAGTATGTAGGTAGGTATATTTTTTAATATAATAATTTTTTAAGCATTTTTCTCTATTTTAAAATCACCCCAATAATACCCAAACCAACAAATAAAACAATAGTATATTACTTCAATAATGATATATATAATTAAAAAAATGTGCTTATGACAATATTTGCACTTTTGGCTTTATAATCAATCTTCAATAACACTTCAAAGAATAATTTCATTTTTAATGCTTCTTGACAGTTCCTTATTAGGCAAAACAATAGAATTCAATAAAATCGTTTCAGAAGGAACACTAACAGAACAGCCCAGAATAGTGATTGAAGGATTCAATCTTCCATCGTTGTTAAACAGCCTTGGATTTTCCATTTTTGCAAAAGGTTTATTAGGGTCAGGATCTGATGGAGTACCTTCAACCCTAGCCCATTTGCCTATGTGAGAGTTCCTGCCAATAATGCTGTGCAAGATTAAAGAACGGTCTTCTATAATAGCTGCATCCAGAATGATGCTCTCTCTTATTCTCACTCCTGCTCCAATACGCACTCCTGTGCCTACAGAGACATTAGGACCAATTACTGCTGTAGGATGTATAACGGCAGTATTATCAATATGAACATCAGGTGTTATGGAGCATTTTTCAGATTTTTTTTCTGTTGCAAGCCTTTCAGGATGGCGTTCTTTGTATAGTTCTAAATAATGACGATTAGCATAAATTGCTGAACTAGCAGTTTTTAGTTGCGACCACCAATTTCTGGTTTGTAGAGCAAACATTTTACCACTTCCTGCTAAAGGTGTTAAAATGTCTTGTTCTAGTTGAAGATACCCTGTATCCCTATTGACATTATTACTGCCATTTTTATAAAACTCGTCTTGTTTAGTGTTGAAAGCCTCTCCAATAATATTGAAGATTTTCAAGGAAAAAACATAAATGCCACAATTGATCAAAGTTGAAACATATGAGCTAGGTTTTTCAACATAATGGGTGATTTCTTGAGTGCCTTTATCCACAACCATACAGCCAAAGTTGAGAGATTGTAGCCTAGTAGCTTCAGTAGTCATTACTGTTAGCAAACCATCAGATCGTTCCTTGTGAGCCTTATACAACTCTCTCAGAGGAAAATCAGCACAAACATCCCCATTTAGTACAAAAAAAGCTTCAGGAGACCCAGATCTAATTTGATCTCTAAAATGATACAAACCTCCTGCAGTACCCAGGGCTGTAAACTCTTGCAAATACTTGATTGTCACATTGTATTGCAACTGCATATCGTTGACAAACTGTTGCAGCTGTGTAACCGGATAAAACCCAATTATCAAAATTTCTTTTAGCTCCTTTATGGCGGCGCAGGCTTCGATGTGGTGCTGGATTACAGGTAAGCCCGCAACGGGGAACAAGGGCTTTGGTATGTCCAATGATAAGGGTCGGAACCGGGTCCCTTTGAGAGGCCCGCCAATTAAAATCACTGCTTTCAACATTATTGATTTAAGCTAACTAAGCGCTGGTTGTCGCTGATAAGGACGTTTTACTTACGTGTCGTATAACCGTTAAATGTGGCAAAATTTTACACTTTTATTTTCCTTATCAAAATGTAAACAAAACAATACACATCTATCTAACCTCAACTCTTCTTTTTTCTTGTTTGGGATTCTGTTTGTGCTAGGGCAAGGATAATACACACTACTACTACTACAGGATAGCCTATTCTCATAAGGGCTGTGTAGAACAAATCTGAAGCCCTCCACTATGCCTATTCACCAGTTGAGACAGCTTGTTGATTCTCGCCTTGGTGTGGGTTGTTTGCACCACAGGTTGTGAATGAATTCGAGTAGTAAGTGGCTTTGTTCCACAAGTGGAATACACAAGGTAGAACAATTTTGAATGGCCTAGGGTTAAATTTATAGTCATTCCTTGAAGGCGTCCTCAAGGATCCCTTACTGAAGGCTGCCTTAAGGAGTCCTTAACTTCTTCGTTTTATAGTCGCTCCCTTCATTGTGTCTCTCTTAAGGAAAGATTACATATGGCAAATGTGTAATCGAATGCTTTTTTGACAGAAAGGATAGGTTATACTACTGTAGGTTATACGACCTGTCGAGAACGGCGGCTGTCAAAAGTTAGCCAGGGCAGGCGAACGTTGGAGACAAAGTGCGTAAAAATGTGTAAAATTTCTGTATTTTGTTGTGTAGTGCTCAGACTTGTAGTGGAATGTTGTAGGGGAGAACGCGACAGCCTTAAATTTTATAAAATACCATCGGAACTGAATCGAGAACGAGAACATCCTGATAAAGTTTAACAAAACGAATTATCAAAAATCAGAAGATAACGCTGGGTTAAATGCAATCAAACGTGAAGATTTAACTGGCAGTAAATTAAAATATGCTGTAATTTGTTCAAGATATATGTATATTAGTACTTATTATTAAATATTAATACTTTAGGTGATGGTACTTTTGCTCTCATTTGACAGCCGTTAAAAATAATCAGGGCTTAGAATGTTGCAAAACTTTGACAACGTATCAAATTCGTTAATCGAGAGCAAAAGTACCGGCCCTAGGTGATGGTACTTTTGCTCTCATTTGACAGCCGTTAAAAATAATCAGGGCTTTTGGCCAGGGTTGCCAGATGTCCCACCTTAGGAGGGACCTTTGAATATAAAACTACAGGAAGGAGCATAGCTTCGAATCTGCGCGACCAAAATATGTGGAGGTTGCATATATGGCCGACTAGTATTTCCGGTTTGGCAGTGGCGTATATTTAGTTAAATATGATTGTCAATATTATGACTCACTCTTTTCTCACTAACTCCAGTACTTATTATCATTTCAAACTGCTAAAATCCACTTGAATGAGGACACAGCCAGGGTTGCCAGACGTCCCACCTTAGGAGGGACAGTCCCATATTTTGTTAATCGGTCCCGCCTTTTTTTAATTAATTTCAGGTCCCGCTTTTCACGTGAATTGTCCCGGTTTTCCCGCTTTTTTCACCCAGTCTTCACATTTAGTGCAAAAAAACGCTTGTAACATAAATGGCAATTTCTACATTCAAAATCGACGCAAAAATCACCTAACGAGTCTGAATCGCAAACATTTCGTCGAGGTCTGCGGATGACGTCACCAATATTAGCTCCTGGCGTAGTGACGTCACTCGCAGACCTTGTGGACTCGAGAACCGGCGAATAAATGCCTTCTCAGGATGAGCAATCCTGTTAGTGTACGATTCTTGGGTTTTATTAATAAATATTGTATGTTGTGTAGGTATAAAAATGTCAAAAATTCCAACAAAATCCAAATCTCATTGCACATACAAACTAGCATATGCAAAAAACTTTTTTTCTGGCCACTGAAAAATAGACAACTTTCGTCAAAAAATAATTTTTTCTAAGACCGTTAGAAAATAAACAACTTCGTCATATTTCACCATAGCCGAAAACTTCACTTTCGTCACTAGTGATAAAATATCTAGTGACGAAAGTGAATGATTAGGATTTTACATGTTCAAAACATTCTTTCAAATCCAATTATAATTTGATTTTATGAATCACAACGAAAGAACATAGTTTATCACAAAATTATTTAAATTGTGCTTTATATAATGTAATAAAAGCAGAACATACAGAGTGGCAACCAAGTAGCATACAACCTTTAGCTTTTTAGGACCTTTTTTCATACAAAAAGTTACAGTATTATGCGCTACTTTTTTGCCACTCTATATAGCGTATGAATAATGATGTTTACTGTTGTTTTGTCGTGAAGCGTTTATTCTGTTATCTAATAAAGGAGATTTTTTTTTGTCCACTTTTGGTTGAATTCTTAGCAAAATTTGGGCGTGGTTCCAAAAAATTTGTTGCGCTTTTGCTCAAGGGGATCCATACTCCATAGGGGGGGACACATTGGGCACTACAGCCCCTCCCCCCCCCTTATGCTTTTGGGTGTGACACCCGAAAAAAATGTTCTCCCTCTGGATAAAGCCTAGTACCAACTAGTACTCATAACTGCGAAATTCGCATTTTTTTGACTTTACTTCGACAATTTGACGTTTAATACACGCATTAAACGTCAAATTGTCAAAGCAATGTCAAAAAAGTGCGAATTTCGCAGTTATGAGTACTAGGCTTAAGAACAGTACCGCTTTTTCATTTCATAGATCTGGCAACCCTGGACACAGCGAACTACCAAAACAAATGATGAGTCCATACTTGGAGGCTCAAAATGGCCGTTTCCGTCTCTGCGTTGTCTGTAGTGACAGATAGAAAACGCTCCTTCCTGTAGTTTTATATTCAATGGGAGGGACAGTCCCGCATTTTGTTAATCAGTCCCGCCTTTTATTTATTAATTTCAGGTCCCGCTTTTCACGTGAATTGTCCCGATTTTCCCGCTTTTTCCACCCAATCTTCACATTTAGTGCAAAAAAAAAACGCTCATTTTACAACTTGTTACATAAATAGCTCGATAAATAGCTATTTCTTCATTTCAAATCGACGCAAAAACCAAATAACGAGTCTGAATAGCAAGCATTTCATCGAGGTCTGCGGGTGACGTCACCACTATTAGCTGCTGACGTGGGCCGTCACTCGAAGACCTCGAGAACCGGCGAACGTACGCCTTCTCAGGATGAGCAATCCTGTTAGATTACGATTCTTGGGTTGGTTGGGCACTTGCCCCTCCCCCCTTATGCTTTTGGGCGTGGCACCCGGAAAAAAATTTCGCGAGCTTTCCCTCTGGATAACATCAGTCCCGCTTTTTCATTTAATAGATCTGGCAACCCTGCTTATGGCCGATTGCGCCGTTTGCCTAAACAACGTTTATAGTTATTTATGTATCAAGGGAATTATGCAGGTGTTAATACCCCAGGGCAACGTTTGTGTCCCGAGGGCCTCCGGCCCGAGGGACACCAATTGCCCGTGGGTATTAACTCCGGATAATTCCCGTGGTACATAGATAATTTTATATCCTACTGAATTTACTGTATTCTGTCTATTTTTATAAAGGAATAAGCCATAAATCAAAATTTCTATTTTTTGTCAAAGTGTTACCTATTCAAGGTAAAAGCGGGAGTTATGAAAATCCTTAACTCCCTTGGGAGTTAAGACCCTATTTATGATTATCGTAACCAAGGTATTATATGGTTTTAATAGTTCAGTAGGATATAAAATGATTAATCATTGTTTAATTTGAAAAATGACTTGCGCCGTTCACTAATCAACGTTTAGCGAACCTTAAACATTGATTGAACTAAACGTCCAATTTTTGGTGATTGAAACATCGATTAGACCATTCGTACTTTTCAACCTCAATCCATTTGTTGTTTTTTTCTTTTTATTGTTCCATTTCAAATGACGATCTTGATCTTCTGGACATTATTAGGACTGTTCCAACTTCCAACCTAGCAAAAAACCGCCCCAAGAACTTATTCGGAACCATTCTGTATACACATTTCGGATTCTACGTACAAATTTTTTGTTTAGCGAAAATCCTGGCGGTAAAATGAACGGTTCTCTGCTGGGCTGGAACAAAGCTATGGGGGTCGGATTTCTTTGGAATGGAAGGTTTACTAGAGAAAAACCATTTTCAAGAGCTGGATAACCTGAAATTTTTCAGATATTCTCGGCTGATGAAAAATACAGTTTTGTACTTGCTGGAACTGATAGGGGATCTACTTAATTGGTTTTATTTTGTCTTGGTTTTTCAAATTTCACAATTTTTGTTAAAATGCGTGCAGAAAATGAACATTGAATTGAAAAAACATCAGAGTTCAGTCAGGAGGTCCTGACGCACACCGCAAAAAATAACACGACAAAAAATTTACAAGAACCCGAAAAACTTTGCTACACAGAACACCTTCGTCGCGATTCTCCCATTTGAGATATTTTTCTATAGGAGATCTTTGCTAGTCAATTTGTTTGACAGTTTGACATTGTCAGACATAAACTTGTGGTTATGAATGTGCCTTTGAGCATTGTGAAGTTAGCCAAACAGAAGAATATTACCCTGTTGCCAAGTACTTTCTCTGTTTACCTAAACACTGTTTAGTTCTAGACGGTGCAAATCACAAATATATAAACATTGATTAAAAACAAATCATTGATTAGCTAATTACTGTTTACGGCAAAGACGGAACAAACGGGCAAAATTAGAATGTGCTCTAACTACATCATACTTATAGACCTTGGCCCATGCAAAACTTTGACAACGTATCAAATTCGTTAATCGAGAGCAAAAGTATCGGCCCTAGAGCAAATATTATTATTAAATGTATATTATTGAAGCGTGTTCGTTTGTGTGACACTACACTTGTGTTACACAATCGAATTAGGCAATTCGAACCACGTGACATTCAAGATGGCGTGGCGGCCACGCATGGGCCAAAATACACAAAAAAATATCTAGTTTCTGCCCGAATTAATAGTTTAGGTACCTAGTCAACAAATATTTTATTAAATAATGAAAATCAAAGTTCTAAGCAAAATTGTATGCAAAATAATTTAAAATACGCATAAAAACATATTCAAAACAAACTTGCTTGGCCGCCACGCCACTTTGAATTTTCCTTTTTGACAGATAGATTGAATTGCCTAATTGTACCCCTGCGTTTTTATTCTCATCAAATTTTACCGATGGATCCACTATTCTATGTCGGTCATTGTCATTTTCCATTCACTAAACAAAGATAGCTAATTCATCGGTGAAGCCACCGATGAGAATAAAAACGCACAATACCTATGCTCTGGCTGAATTTTTGTTGTTAGAATGCCCTCTAAAATCAGAAATAAGTGAAAAAAAAGTATCTTAGCATTAACATAATTAGCAGTTCGGCTGCCAACTAAGGTAAAACTGCTCCAAAAAATCACTGCTATTTGTCACAATGACACGACTGGAGCAGTCATGTCTTGTCACAGCTCCATTAAAATCGCAGGTTGGCCCACCTCTAAATTCTTGTGTAGCAGCAGATCAGCAGATGCATCTGTACCTATATAGTCAAGAGT